CAGCAGGACAATCAGAATTCCAGACTTTAGGGGTGGGGATTTACAATTTACAGAACATGGTAATAACCTCTTAGATTCAGGTGTCTTAAATTCAGGTGTACAAGAAGACTTCTTTGTAGAAATATTTTGAGGACAGTTTCAGAATAGTAGAAAGCAGTCAGTACATACATTTTTACGCAAGATTCTTGACCAGAAGATTAAGATAGAGACTCTCGTGACTGTTTGTAATTTCCCACTTGATAAAAACTGACATTATAGTGCAGAATAGTGTGTGCTTTTCTGCAGCTGTAGGAGAGGAGGAAACATCTTTTCCTGGTCTTTCTGGGGTTTCTTTTACCAATAGTCAGGAGAGCCTGAAGTTTTAAGGTGGAGAACTAGAATTCAGTTAGCACTGCCCAAACAGCAGAACTGAGATGCTTAAACGTTACGGTATAGAAAAAGAAAGAAGGGTATTTTAACAAGTGGATTCTGAAGCATGACGCGTTTTCCCTCTGTAACTGGTTTGGTGAATGGTCTGAATTTAGTGAGAAGCAAACATGGAATGATTTTCTTTTTCTCTAGCTACTGCCTTCATACATACTGCATTGAAGCTGCTTTTCCTGCCCCTAGCATCATCTTTTTGGTCTTGGGATGGGGGTGTGGTGGTGGGTATTAAAAACCCAATCCAGTCCATCCCAGTCTAGTTTTTTTAAATTTCAGCTTTACTGAGGTATAAATGACATGTAAAATGGTAAGATATTTAAAGTGTACATTTGTGGTGATTTAATATACATTGTGAAAGGTTTCCCTTCATCTAGTTAATTAACATATCCATCACCTCACATGTTTATCTTTTTTTGGTGAGAGCATTTAAGTTCTACTCTCTTAGCAAATTTCAATTACACAATATAGTGTTATTAACTATAGTCACCATGGTTTACATCAGATCCTCAGGCCTTATTCAGCTTATAGCTGAAAGTTTGTACCTTTTTGCCAGCCTCTCCCTATTTCCCTCACTACCACTGCTTCCCCCAACCAGCCCCTGGCAACCAATTTTCTACTCTGTTTCTATGAGTTTGACTTTTTTTTTTTTAGCTTCCACATATAAGTGATATCATGTAATATCTGTCTTTCTCTGTGGCTTTTTTCACTTAGCATAATGCCCTAAGGTCCATTGATGTTGTCACGAATGGCAGGATTTCTCACAGCTGAATAATATTCCACTGTATATATGTACTAAATCTTCTTTATCCATTCATCAATTGACAGCCCCTTGAGTTGTTTCCATATCTTGGCTATCATGAATAATGCTGCAATAAACATGGGACATAGATATCTCTTTGTTACCCTGTTTTCATTTCCTTTGGATATATACCCAGAAGTAGGAATCCCAGTCCAGTTTGATCAATTCTAACACTTTAATGTCACGTCCTTCTTTCTCCCCACCATAGTCAGTCCCGGGCCCACAGGGCTTAGAGGAGAAATGGAGACACGGATGCCTCTTTCATTCCTTGCCTCCCTCTCTTGGGGTTCCCTGTCCCTTTCCAGTGTTGCCCTAGACCACCCTCACCAATGGAGCCCTGATGGGAAAGGGTCAAGCCAGTTGTCTTCTGAGGGCTCTACTCAACCCAAGGGAAACTCATCCTTCCCGGTCACTTCCACCACTGAGAGTGCAGGCTGCCCCACCTGCTGCTGTCTACATTTCCCCCACCCATCTCAAATAGGACAGATCAGGAGGACGGATCAGGCTGCCTAGCAGACAGCCGACTTGGAAGCAGATGCCACTGTCACCTTCATGTGGTCACCCTCACTCTCAGCTGGTAGCCCCCCTTATTTGGCTTTGTTGTGAGGGTGAGGTAGAGCACCACCTTTCCTTCCCTTCAGGAAGGGATGGAAAACCCCCCATAGAACTTAGGATTCTTGTCATTTTTCCGTCAAACGGCTGATTTTCGGCTAGGGGAGGTGGGGAAGGGAGGTCTCCTAGAGCAGTTCTGATGCCTCCTAGTAAGTCCCACTGGGATTTGTCTTTCCAAGGCCTTCCAGTCTCTTTAGAATGTAGTGGTGGAGGTGTGTGCGTGGCAGTGAACGGGGTCCCGGCAGGGTAAGGAGGGTGGAGACGTAGCATTTTTTGTTTGCTAGTAGGACTTCAGCTGCAATTGGAGACAAGAGATAGCGTCTTTTTAAGATCCTGTTCTATTTGCTATGCAAATTCTCACTCTTCACAGCCGTCACAATTCAGAAAGAGATCAGACTTTCAGACTCCTTTTTCTCAAACCTCAAAACCTCCTCTCCAAACTTGACTCTCAATTGGCAGCTTTGCTTCCTATTTCTCTGAGAAAATAGAAGCCATCGAAAGAGAACAACTGTCACACCCATCCTCACCTCTGTCTCCACCTACCCGCACCTGGGCTCCTGGGCTCTGCCTTCTCTCCTGACTGTGAGTGCTGGGGTGTGTGTGTGTGTGTGTGTGTGTGTGTGTGTGTGTGTGTGTGTGTGTGAGAGAGAGAGAGAGAGAGAGAGAGAGAGAGAGAGAGAGAGAGAGAGGAGGGAGGACTAGAATGAACAGAGGAAAGAGACAACAGACTTAATTATATGCATAATGTTAGAGTAAATTTAAAAGATGACCTGAATGACAGTATGAACTTGTCATGCTAATCAAGTTAACATCTGTGTTCTGAAAAACAGAATAGGTCATGAGTAACATTACAGGGGTTAATGGTATTTTTTGACCTGCTGAATGATGGTACTTCATTTGCTTTCTTTGGTTCCTAAGATTGCTGGATGTTACTAGACGTCTTGGCACTATG